GAATAACCAGTACAACTCATTCTTAAGGATGAGAATCTTATCTCGCGGATGTAGGTACCTCGGATACCCACCCTTAATAGGACGAGTATAGGGATACTATATAAGGGTGGGAGCGGGTATAGGAGTTAGAATTAACCGTTGAATCAAGATGGGGCGGAAGTGTAGGAGAAACTCCTCGTCTCTGCCTCCGATTCGATTATATGTACTTTATTTTATATATATATATATATATATATATATCATATATATGTATTATACTTAAAAAAATTCTAAAACTTATGTATTAATAATTAATAATTATAAAGAAAAAAGAAAATTATCCTTTTAATTATAATATTTTTCAATTATAAATAACAAATTGAATTATATTACAATCCTGCGTTGGCATGGACTTATAGAGGGAACAACAACAATAATGTTTTGATTTATTTTACAAATTTAATTTATGGATCTAGAGTTCAATTTTTGTTTTCAGTTTATTTTTTATGCGACATTAATGAGTATGTTGCTAATTTTTTTTTAATGAAATTTATTTTGAGTTTTATAATGTTACGAGAATTTTTTAATTTTTCTTTTTTAATGGATAAATGGTTTGGGTATATAGAAAGTTACAACAGTGGTGAATCCCCGACTCCGACCCCGCCTAAAATTAGACGGTTATAGAAGTGAGTATGAGGGACAAAATAGGAATAGGGTATGAGAGTGGAGGGAGCATACCCACCCCCACCCCGCCCAATACTCATCCCCACTCATTCCTGACTGTTACATCTAACAAGAATCACATCAAAAGCAAAAGAACAAAAAAAAAAAAAAAAAAAAAAAAGGGGCAAAACAGCTAAAAATGCATTTTTTTCAAGTCCAGAAATCTCTCTTTTTGGTTTGTCTACATTAAATTAAATATAATATTAAAACAAACTCTAATCAAAATAAAATAAACTTCTTTTAATTTTTCTAAAAAATCTCAGTTCTTTCAATTGCCTTTCTTCGAGGATGTACAATTGGATGATTTAATGGCACAAACAGCTATATGTGGTAGCTTAAAAGTGACAGTTCAAGATCCAGTTTCCATGTGCAGAATTTCCAGAAGCCATGGCAAGCGAAATGGGAAGTTCTTCTAAACTTGATGGAAAACTTCGATTTCGAAATGATTTGAGTGCATTTGAAAGAAAAATCAGTTTGTCAAGTAGTTTATTTCAGTCTGATTATCAACCTCAAAAGGTTTTGCCTGGCCATATGCCCGTGGAGGAGTGTTAGCAAAGTTTTTGACAATGGAAAAATAAAGGTCAAACTCTGCCTTCAATTTCATGCAGGAGGCTTCAATCCACTTCTCCGCTACACTGGTAGCCACACTGTCTTGGTTGTCCCTTTCATGTTCTTCAATGGCCGGTCGTATCTCGTCGTATAAAGATTCAAGCTGGGAGGTCACATCATTTTTCATTTCCTGTCAAGCAGTTCAAAATCAACAACATAAATAATAATACTAATAATGCAATGCCAAACAGCTACCACTGCTACTACAAATGGTCCAGGATAGCTTTAAGAATCACTTTACACAGAAAGAGATGAAAATAAAGCGACAACTTCGGTGTTAAACAGAGAGAATTCATGAGCCAAGTGAATATAGATCTTAGACTATGTTTCATAACTTAAGTTGAGAAGTTGAGTTGTGTGTGAGAAAAATACTGCAGCAAAAAAGTTGAATTTGAATTTTTGTGAAAGAATAAGGCCTTAAGTATCAATCGTTCTGATAAACGTGTCAATCTAACACTAAGTTTCGTAAAGGTGAAAAGTGGAAGGAAAGAAAAGAGTGGAGAGATTTTTGAAGAGAAAATGTGGTAGTGAATTGTTTGGTTGGAGAGAGAAGAAGGAAACTACTTGAATGAAGAGAAGGATAACCTATTTGCCCTCATTTTCTAAACAAGATCGTACTAATTAATTGGTGAAATAGTCATCTACTTTTTAGCTGAATAAAATAGTCATTAACTTAATCACCTGTTTTTATTCCCTTCCTATTGTACCAAACAAGGCAAAAGAAACACATCTTCCTTCCATCTATATCTTGTATCCTTCCTTTTTCTTTCTTTCTTACCAAATGGGTGTGTAAGAGATTAAGACAACCAAAAATGAGAGAGAACAAGCCCTAGCAACAATCCAGAGTCTTAGCATAAACCACAAATTTATCTTTTTTTATTATTTTTAAAAGCAGTATTTACCTCGTATTTTAAAACTTCCTCTTGCGCTTCCTTTGTTGGTAACAACAGAGCAACAGCCTTTGCATCTACTTGCTTTTGTGCCAAATTCTTCGTCCTTCCATTTGGATATTTTTTCGACCTTTTCTTTGGCACGGACTTCGGTCCAATCTGATACTTTTGGGACACGTTACTACTTTGGATACGAGATATCATACCATTCTTGTGCAAAAAGGCCTCTTCGGTATCTTGTGAACACAGTTTACTCTCCTCATTCACCTCGGCTTTTGTTTCATTAACCACATCCATTGGAACCGAATCAAGTGACTGAACAACAAAAGAAGTGGACAAGAATTGATTCTCGGAATCAACTTTAACACCTGTCATCCCGCCAACATTATATTCAGAGCTTGAGGAATTAATAATCATGGTATTTAAGAGCTTAGAAGGCTCATCCTCTGCAGAATCATATAGTGGAATCTTCTCAACTGAATATCTGTAAAACAAATAGGCAGTTAAAACTTTAAATGCAGCAGGAAAAAAGATAAGTTTTCTTCAAGGTAACCATGCAAAATGTCATAGAGGTTCGTGTATGTCACTTCAGTTTCTCAAAAGTCTTGAACCTAATCAAAGATTGATACTAAAGTCAGGACCTCTATGACATGTAACCGAAGGAAAAATAAAATAAAATCTGGATTGGCGTTTGATGGAGTGGCAGAGCCTTAACAAGATCACCGAGTGAATAGTCAGCATGAGCCTCATTTGGTATGCAGGAAGATGGACAGGTTGTTTACAATTAGCCTGAATTAGCTTGCTCAAAATTGGTTATGCACGGTTGGATTAAGAGGAGCAAACAAAGAATAAAATGATTAGCCATTATATAAACCTTACATGCTTTTTTGCTACAGATACACCTTACATGCTTGTTCAAGATACTACTAAAAATGAAATCATTGATAACGAACTAATTGTATTTATAAAGTAGGCCACTTTTACAAGCTTGTTTGTAATATAACAATAAATTTTACAGGGAGCAATCAGAGAGTTCCTGTTACCATATATACACATGTAAATTAGTGCAAAGAAGATTAACAAATTGCACTGAGCAAGTGCACTTTCCACTGACTTTCTTTTCTTTTTCTTTTTTTTTTTTCCTTTTTAAGGTGTGCCAAAGCTACAACTAAACCATAACCAAAAACATGTCACGTGCCAAGAAATAGATCCCAAACCGTGATTGGCTATGAAAAATGTGAAAATTTAAAATCAAAAAGCGCCAAATAGGGGTACAAATACCTGTCATCATCATCTTCCCATAGGTAAGTATCCTCCTGTGAAAAAAGTCATGTCAGACAGTTAAGAAAATGATTAGG